GCCGAACTGAACACGAAGTGGGATCAGGGCATTCAAAGTCAGAACGCAAACTACGCCATGGCATCCGTAGCAGAACTCGATGACCGTATCTCCATACGATCGCCATCTTCCTTCCACTTACAATGGGACACCCGCCCTTACGAACCTTTCGTGATGCGCAACGATGAAGTCTGGCCTCAGAATCGCCTGTCCCTTGTCTTCTCCGAACCCACTCCCAAGCCCGTTTCCGAATTCCCCGACTTCCACAAATGGGTAACAGACTTTATGTTCGGACTTTTCGCACATCCCAAGGATGGTGTCAATGCTGCCCTCGACAAGATGCAGCACGGACTGAGCGATATTATAAACGAGTGCCCTACCTTGAAGGACCCGGAAAAGGGTGGCCGATTACAAATGGAACATCTTAGGGTGAGGATGCTGACGACCGAGATGATCATCGAGCTTGTGAAAGCGTACAAAGATTGGCCGTTCAAGGCGCCGGGCAGTGATCATAGTGCTTACTTTAAAAACAAGCATGTGGAATCTGTGACCGCTGGGTTTCATGCACCAGAGTCTCTTTAGAATATGTTATTGAACTTCAGAATCTGTCAACTTTTCTTTTCACGAATGAAGAAGATAACACAATCGAAATGAATGCGCATGACGTGTGGAGTGCCATTGACGTAAGGAGGCTAAGAGACGTGACGATTTGGAAAGAAACACGTACGCAGCGGCAGACTATTCCCATTGCATGGGGAGGAAGATGAACGACTTTGAGGAAATCGGTATCAAGGTGACTTGCTTTCTCTCGAGCTCTAGCAATGCACTCAGAGATCTAGCATGCGACGATGGTGGTCGGGGTGAACATGAGGCTGATGTAAGTTAGCATGGCTTCTATCAATAGATCTGACTCAGGCATGACCGACGGCGGTGTGAGTCCTGCGCTATCTGGACTACTCAGACTTTGTAATGCCATGAATGTAGAAAAGCTCTGGTACAGCCTTTGGGGAACTCCAGAAAATGAACTGTTGGCGCAATGGAAGCGTTCTCCCTGCTCACCATTGAAGCCAGAATGAGCAGAGCAGAAGAGAATGACATATCGTGGTTCAATTCGATTAAGCCAGTGCTCAGGTAATCGTTTTAATACTCGAGAGTCAAGATCTAGTTCTGAGCACCTTATTCCCAACTCTGAGTGATGTCATCGTGAACTTTGTCATCTATCGTTTCGGTATCTCATCCTTCAGGTAAGCCCAAGATGCGCACATAACTGTGACGAAACTTCTACAGAAATAGAAGTGTCCTGTTGCGGGACTTGCCAAGCTAGTAGACTTGGTACCACAACTAAGTATGTCGAGCGGCGATTAAGTGACGAAATAAGATCTTTCGCTTTTGGGTCTCGATCATGTGGTACATAGCTCTAAATGCTTGTCTATGTAGAAATGGAAATCCGGATCGAGTGTGAGCGTATTTTCATCGTATCCTGGGGTTTCTCACCAAAGTGGTACAGTTAGGCTACTGTCCTTCTAAGAAACCGCGTTTGTCAGGTACTGTGGATCAGCACCCACGGCACGCGCAAGACGCCCCTGAACTTCCCATATGTTTCTTTCGGGGATAGGTCTTCTGGTTGAATGCCACCATCGTTCGGCCACGCTATGGAAATACGCAGGTAGATCTCGTCGTGACTGTGCATAGCAGCTTTCGCGTCTTCGTATCATCGTTGCAATAGGTCAAAATGTCGATAACTCCGAGGCACCAGTAGATTCTGATTCTGGTAGGCCCCACGCTGCGGCGTCATCGCAAACACACTTTCCTGATGATTATTGATAGATGAAAAGCAAGCCGAATGTTCGGCGCAAGCCGTCGCCGAAGGCCCTCGGCCTCGTGTACCACACAAGCTGCAGGCTTGCATTTGACAGCGTCCACGATCTGAGTGGAGACGATCTGGCTTTTGTCCGATACAAGAGCTGCGGGATGTCTAGCGGCAGCGCCCGTCGGAATTCAAGGGGAATAAATTGATGGTGTGGCATTACTGCAGGAATCAATGTACAGGGTATGAGGTGCTTTAGACGCGTCATTGAAGCGCCAGACATCCAACGTCGCCGATATGCAACTCGGAACAAGGTGACTCGGATGAGATATCGACGCCACCTCAGGAGTGTATCTCGGTGGTGTTGGTGGATGGATCCAACGAGGTGAGAGAACACGAAAAGGGGAGACATAGCTTGGGCGGAACTAACCACGCTAGTGGATGAAACAAGCCTAGCCTCTTTTTCCTTGTTCAGTGGCTTCGACGCGACTTTCCCAGCTACCATCATCACATCACCCCCACTCTCGCGCTCGATCTGGCATTAAAAAAATGTCCGGAGCAGACAACAACCCAAGGAAGCGGAAAGCTGAGCCTCGCGAACGGCAAGATGGCGACGAGAAAAGAGCTAAGGTAAGTCCTTTTCTTCGTGCGACTGTCAAAACTCCGACCGTCCTTGCAGTCTTGCCCTTACAGTTCTATTTTCGTCATGCAGCTGCTGCCGTGATCTTTATCAGGCTGATGTAAGACCTCAGGGTAAAAGAAACTGGGATATGCCCCGTAGGGGTGGGATCCAATCTCGTGCTATCAAGCCCGGTGATGCGGGCATATGGGCAACATGCGCTATGAAGAAGGAAGCAAAATCCGTCTCTGACCTTCGAGATTTGTTCCAAGAGGTAAGAAAAACCTTAATATTGCACTGCGATCGAGTTGTACGACCGACGATGCTGATTAGTGGCAGTACGCTACTACGCTGTATGGCACGGCCGAGTCCAATGGCACGGCTGCAGAGGACAGCTCTGATTCCGAAGGAGGTGATATTGAAGCTGAGATCAAAAAAGAGCTCGCCGATATCCGCAAGCCGGCCACAAAGCCATTGTTCACATCCCTCAAGCTCGATACCCAATGCTGTAAGGATTGCCAACCATGCTTATGACAATTCATGCTGACCAATCCAAGTGATGTTCTTCAGGACACGCTCACCTATCGAACCTGTCATGTTTGTTCATAAGATCTGTCAGGACATTGCAAATGGCGCACAGCCAAAGAACTTACGTTACGTCAAGCGACTAACACCCATCACTGCAACAGATAAGGCTACTCCTCAGGGTCTTGAAGCTGTCGCGAAAGAAGTCCTCGCACCCCACTTTCATGGCGCAGATCAAGTGGGGAAGAAGGTGAGTACAAGCTCCTTCTATTAGATGATGCAGCCTCGTCGTGCAAAGATCTTCGCTAATGCGCGTCGACCCAAGTTTGCAATACGTCCATCGATACGCAACAACAAGGAATTTTTGAGAGACGGTGTCATCAACACAATTGCAGCTGCGGTTGGTCCCGGGCACAAAGTCGACCTCAAAAATTATGATCTCCTTATTCTTGTAGAGATTTACAAGGTACGGTTATGCCCCCCTATGGTAGTCACGCGTCTTAGCTGCACGGTGTGATGAGATTCTGGTAATTGCTTACGTCTGATAGAATGTCTTGGGTATGAGCGTGGTTGGGCCTGATTTTGAGAAGCTCAAACGTTTCAACATTGAAGAGCTTCGTCAGCCATTGTCTTCTGTCAAACCAGAAACCGACGATCAGTCGGGAAAGATCAACAAAAACAATAGTGCCTGAGAAGGAGATGAACGGATGTGCTGCGTGGGGTAGCAGTCTCGTGGCTAGAACGCCCAGCGCAACATTGTCCACAAACCGAATAAACCTCCGATCGGGGCCACTATGGCTTGCATTGATGGTTACCCTTGGGATGAAGCAGACGACTGGTGAAACATCGGAGGAGGTACAACAGCTATTCAGATGCTGACCTGAGACCCAGCGTTCTACTGCGACTCGTCTCCGATCTGTCGGGTGTATATTTTAGGGCTTGCACGGACCGCCACCATTATGACGGAAGGGCGTCGATGGTGTGGAAGTAGTTGACTGGCCAGGTCCTTGTAACAGATTGCGCCGAGCGAACGGAGGCCCCATACCAGCCTGACGTTGCGCTGATCACAACATTCCGCTCTCTCACACCACACTCATGTTCACGTGGTCACTTACCGTCTCTCAGGTTCCATCAGCATGTGCTATCGAGAGACGTTAATCATTGATGCATCCTTGAACCTTGCCTCTGCATAGCCAATCATGACACGCGATAGGCGACATTCTTACCGGACGCCTAACCGCTTGTAGGTGCTCTTAACGAACGGTGAGAACGCCAGCCTGGACGCCTCTCGCGTCCTTCTCCGCGTCCTTCTCCGGCTTTGCTAGTCTTATTCGCTCAGAAAGAAGGCGCTTGCCTACAAGCTCCGTACACGCATGAATGACTTTTGCTTTTCCGCTAAGCAGGGGATAAACGAGAGGGTAGTCGAGGTGGCTTGTAGAATGATTGGAATTTGTAGAAGTGCTACTATGTGTCGACTGTGATGCGAATCGGTTTGGCCGAACGAAGGAAATGGTTTCATCAACTGGAATTCAGCATACTCGGTCTTGCTCGGTCTGGCGTTACGATGCTTTTGCTTCCCGACGTACATCGGAAAATCTGTTGCAACCAGATCGATCTATGTCGACACGATGTAAAAGGAACACTATGAGAAGTTGTTCATGTAGCATCGGGCCATTCTTAATGCTTAGAGAGTCCCTGACATGCAGCAGTCCACAAGCTCCCGGCCTCCACTTTCGGATCACGCTAAGCCTCGCCTGAATCTAGTACATCGCTACCCAACTCTTCATAATGCATCTTCCCCCGCTGGATGTCGCAATCTATCCCCTCACCAGTATGAGCCGTGGTACGTATGCTCTAAAGCACGCTCGGCCCTCTTCGTCAACTTCATCATCTTCGTCGTCTTCATCAACATCTTCACGTACTGCCATCACTACACTCGACTTTCCTAGCATACAGAGGGTGATCAGATCAGTGTTCCGATCCTCGAAAATCACTGTGCAGCAAGTTGAAGTTCTACAAAGATGCCTCCATCAAGTTTACCTCACAAGACTAGAAGATGGTAGTTGTTTAATGCTTAAATGCCCACCACCTTACAACGTGCGACTCCTCCGGCACGAGAAACACCTCCTGGAAACGGAACGGAGGACGCTCGAGACATTACACGAGTACACACAAATACCTGTCCCTCAACTCATCAAGTATGATGGTCACGGCGGACCGCTCAGCACACCATTTCTCATGATGAGCCACATAGCCGGTCGCAAGCTTTCGGAATTTGCGCCGTATCTTACAGCCAGCGAACGAAGTTCCATCGACCAAACACTGGGTGTTTATGTCCGCGCTCTCACTACGCTGTCAGCAACCCAATTCGGCATGACACACCGAGTCTTCGCCAAAAAGGGCAGCAATTCCTGGCGCGAGGCCTTCCTCGCTCTCCTCGAAGCAACAATCCGCGACGCGGAAGATATGCTCGTCAACGCACACTCTGAAAGCATACGATTCTGGGTCGGCAAGCACGCGCAATGCCTAGAAGATGTCATTGAGCCGCGTCTTGTGGCCTTGAACGTATGCGACCCCGAAAACGTGCTTATCGACGAGCGTACTAAGCAGGTCGCTGGTCTGGTTGGTTTCTCAAACGTCATCTGGGGCGATCCGCTGATGAGCGGCGGTATGGCGGATGGCAACGAAGCGTTCTTCGCCGGCTTAGGGGACTACCCGGTCAAGACTGCGAGTGCGAGGACCAGAATGCTCATGTGAGTGGTGGTGCGGGTAATTAGGGGGTCGCAGTACTAACCGTGATAGGTACAAAACTTACAGAGCAACAGTGCGAATTGTCGCACACCACTACCGGCCGCATGACGGCATCGATGAACTTGGTGCGAGGCGAGAGTTGAGCTATGCGCTCAACGACCTTGCAGCCATCTAGGCTATAGTAGCGTAAAAGGCCTAGAATGGCATTAGATTTCTCATCATGCTTTGCATCAAGCGGGTCAGGTGTTAAACGAACATACATGGCGTTACAGGAGTGCTCCAGATGTATGGGTACTATATTTTTTTTTATCTGGAAAGAGTTTGGGCTTCAGGGCGTAGAGCGTCTCTTTCTTGCACTATGGATGATCGGGGATAGCCAGAAGAGTAGTCGCTGCAGACCATTGACATTGATGGACTGTTTACGGCTAGGTGTAGCGAGCGGTGTAACATCGCTGTGTGCTATTACTGAACGCCTGGATTAGTTACGAAGGGGCGTAAAGTGCTGAGTTTCACCGCATAAGAATGAGCTTTTTGCAAGCTTACATTGTGTATTATACTCCCTCCACAATATGAGTTTCACTCCTACTAGACGATACAGTCATACCGTCCGTCGTTTACGCGTGTCTTTGCTCATTGATTGATGCTTGTCGCGTGAGCTAGTGACTGGAGAGGGAAGAAAGTGGATATAGTTACCGTCTTGAATTTGTCGTAAATGTTATTACTTCGCCTAATGACGCGACGGTACAGCAACTGGGGTAGGCGAATGTTGTGATTCGAAGCAACATCGCGGTGTCATAAGCCGCTCAGCCCCAGAAACGTGCATAGACACACAGAGAATGTAACGTTCTACCTCGATACCCATAAGTACTAATTTGCGGAGTGGGTCGAGCTACTGTGCCGCCCTTGGCCATGGATCATAAGTGCTGACGACCCATAACCTACAATTACCATACATGCCATGCATCGTCTACCCTTGCCAACACATGCGTGTCCACTGCCTACTCTAATGCTCCATCTCGCTCACCCCTGTTTCTGGAATCGATTAGTGGTAATCTGTGGAAGCACATCCGCCAATCATCTACGTCGAAGTTCGCTAGATAACGCCTCATTTGGAGTAGTGCGAGGGAGGGGTAGGCGAAGATAGACGACACATGGCGGGCCGATGTTCTTCGGAGTTGCACGTTCGTAGCTTCTCGCTACTTTTGTAGGAGATGGGTAAGAGCGGCTTAGCGTGAACAAAGTGGGTGACGACGAGGCTGTAAGCCTTGAAGGACAACTGTAATTCAGGTCTTTCCAATCATGTGACAAGTCTGTGTTAACCTGCCTTTCTATATAGATTCGGTGCCTCGCTCGCTTATTGTCATGTGCAGAGTTTACTTGTGAAGAATGACCACAGGATTCAAAGGAGATGGCCTTCAGTTTCGGAGTACGACAAGCGCCTGGTGGCGAGGAAGATAACATGGCTCGAGCTGCCACTTCCCGAAACAAGGCTTGAAGGATGATGTTTCGGAGCGACACATGATAAGAGATGCGCCAAATAGTTGTCATTACCATGAGTTCACAATTTCGCGTCAAGTCGAGTTGAGCCCTTTAGCGCATCGTCGATAGTAGACATAGCCTGGACAAGTTTTTCTTCTTGCAACCTCGGTGCAACGACTTGTACGCAAAGTGGTGTTCCAAGGTAGATCGATCGATCGAAGTCAGCCCCTAAAGAAAATGTTAGCCATACAGCAACTCGGTGTGCTTTCAGCACTCGCCAGTCAAGCGGCACTACTTACAAAGCTCTCTATTTGCCTTATCCCAGCTGCCTAATGGCTTCGTGTCCGCCATCTCTCCCTCCATATCTGCCGTTCCGAATGATCTTACTGGCACAACACCCGCCGGGTAATCCAACAGCACGAAGGAGCTAGTGTAACTAACACCATTGTAGCGGTCAATGGGCGGCACAGGATGTGGCGCAACAGGACAGATAAAGGCATCAATCTCGCCATGCTGGTCTTTCCAGATCTGCAAAAACTTCTTTCGTAACTGCTCGCGTTTACCGTGGAGTTGCTGGACTTTGGGAAGCTCCATGGGCTTCTTACGCTTGAGCCGTGTGGATAACCAAGGTGAGAGAGGCTCTTTGAAGGACTCCAGGATATCAAACATTGCGTTTCCGCCCTCAACACCAAAAAGTGCGTTAGCGAGGGATTGGCATTGTGAGAAAAGTGGTGTGATATCCATCTCAACCACCTCAGTTCCGGACTTCTTCAATTTGTCTTTGACTTCATCTAAGATGTTCAGGATTGGAGGATGCGGTTCGATGACTCCATCTCTTCTGACGACACCAATTCTCAACTTCTTTCGTGTTGTGGACAAGGAAGACCATGGTGATGGCACGACATCCGGGTCCATTCCCCAGGGTTGCTGTGTTGATACTGCGGAGAAGAAGAGTTCGACGTCGCGCATAGTGTGGGCGAGCGGCCCAGCACTGGCTGGGATACCAATTTTCGTCGCTCCAGGCAGCATACCACCCTCTTGGCCGGCGTAAGGTATGCGTTCCCAGCTAGGTTTGATACCAAAGGTTCCATCGCACATGGCTGGTATCCTAATACTACCGCCAACATCTGTACCCACACCTAATACCGAGCCGCGCATTGCGATCAATGCTCCTTCTCCCCCTGAACTTCCGCCAGCGGTTACAGCGGTATTGAGTGGGTTGATAGTGCGCCCAAAGACATTATTGTGGGAGTCCAGAGCCATGAGCGTCTGGGGTACATTTGTCTTGCAGTACAAAACTGCTCCAGCGCCCAGCAAGCAATCGACCAGGACTGAGTTTTCTTCCGCTGGCTTGAAGCAAAGGGCTGCGAGGCCAATAGAAGCATCGTAACCACGCACCCTAAAAGTATCTTTGAGAGAGACAGGCACACCATGCAGAGGTCCAAGAGGTGCTTTTCCTGATGCTAGATGGTCGTCAAGTTCCGAAGCTCTCTTCAGCGCATCATCGAAGAAGACCTCTGTAAGGCAATTTGTGAGTTGATGGGCAATCGCCGCTCTCTGTTTCAATGTCAGACACTAATAGGCGATGCCAACTGCGGATTCAGTAAGAAAAGACATACTTTACAAAAGGCTCTCGTTACATCAATGCACATTAGTTTCCTGGCCTTGATCGCTTCGGCCAGCGCGACAGCATCATAATTTTCGGTGATGTCCAATTCCTTCTTTGTTAGAATCCCGGACTTGTGTGGTATATCCGTATAGCTCTTAACATTGGCCTCGGGTAAGCTGCTCAGCTTCCACTCCTTTGGTATGCGTCCGTCTTGTTTTTCCTTCTTCCGTTTTGATACAGACTGCCAATCGGCCTTGGATGATAAACTTTCCTGAGACATTGCGATGCTTGAGTGTGTCGAAGACCAGCGTCGTGATGTCGCGGAGATGGTGAATGCTAGGGTAGAAGCCGAGGTATGCCACGAACGGACTAGTGCCTTGAGGGGTAGGGAACATTGATTGCTGACTCTCAGGGCATCATCGACTGGAGGCATACGAGCAGACAATTCTACGCTAAAGCAGCGCTTCTCGGCGCGAGCTATACCATACCTTCTTCCTACTCCACGGATTGCGCGCCGCGAAGCATACGCGCGTTTCGACATTGGCCTCGAAACGGCTTCCTTCCAATCATGTTCGCCATTAGCACCACTCTTCTCATAGAACAGACTCTTAATTCAGGAAAGATGTCGTCAGGTACCAAAACCTGATTGCGTAAGTAGCAGGCTGGAATACTTACCCGAAGACGGCAGGACGCCTCCTTGCGCTAGGGAAATGAAGCGTACCAAGAGGATGTTGAGAGGATGAGATAAGGATTGCGACGAGGAAGAACCACGGACAACGACCGCAAAGTCACTGCTGCCGTTGGCATGATCCTATGTAGGAAACGGTCACATGTTTACGTGCTTCACATGGATTTTAGTTTGCTGACATCTGACATGACGGGGAGTCGCGATCGCGTCTGTAATCCCTGTTGCCGTCAATTGAGGGCGCGCCACAAGCGTCTCCTGCCAGCTGCCCCGGAATATTTTCCCGCTTGGCCCTGGCTGGCACCGCGACGCACGCCGTGCCCCCATTGCTAGTAGCCCACCCATTGATACACGTTGCTTCTGTACTCCTTTCTCTTCTTCACTCTTACATAACTTTGTTACCTTGTTGTCTAATTGCATACTCGCATCTTTCGCCATGGCCGCCGGTAACTTCTCACTGCCTCCGGGGCAGCACCCTTACTACCCCATTGAGAAGGAGATTGTGGGCTACCTGGCCAACAAATGGGGCACGCTGGACCTGCTGCTCATGTTCGCTGCTGGATGTGTCGCCATCTTCAGCGTCACGTATGTCATGGTTAAGCGCCTGCGGCCCAATGCCAGCACCGGTGACCTATCCACCATCATGTGGTTCGTGCTATGCGGCTGCATCCACTCGTTCTTCGAGGGCTACTTTGCCTACAACTTCAGGAACATGGGCGGATTGAACGATCTTTTTGGACAGCTGTGGAAGGAGTATGCGCTGAGTGACTCGCGTTACTTGACCCAGGACGCTTTCGTTCTGTGCATGGAGACTGTCACCGCTGTACGTACACACCGCTCCTCCCATTGCCCCAGAGCCCGACTGCAGTGACTAACGCACAACCTCATAGGTTTTCTGGGGCCCAGGTTCCTTCCTCTGCGCCTATCTCATCTCAATTGACCACCCCCTCCGCTACTCGGCTCAGCTCATCGTCTCGCTTGGTCAGTTCTACGGCGACGTTCTGTACTACGCTACATCGCTTTTCGACCACTACATCCTCAACCTCTCATACTCGCGTCCTGAACAGTTCTACTACTGGGGCTACTTTGTCTTGATGAACGCTTTCTGGATCGTTATCCCTGGATACCTCATGTACCAGAGCGTCATGGCTACATGGAGCGCTTTTGCGGCTGTCAACGATGCGGCAAGGCTTGTTGAGAAGATGGGCAAGAAGCGCAACTAGAAGAATGCTCCGTGTATCAGGCTTGTCGACACGGCTTCCGTGGACAGAAAATCACTACCGTCGGAGTGGAGGCGTGCTGGGATGGAAGTTATTATTACTATGGATTGAATGTTGGGATGGACTGCAAAAGTATTCTGGACACGATACAGGGACGCTATTTTGATACCCTAGATTTGAAC